CCCACAGACTCAGTTACCCCGCCACAGACTCACAGCAGGACTGCAGACGCCACGAATATGAACAACGTGTTCTCCCAGAGGTAGTGGTGGATCCAGCTGACCCAGCTCAGGCGAGGGTTCAAGACTGCCAGCTGCCTGATGTAAACTTTGCCGGCATCGTACATTGTGCTGAGAGATCGGAAGGGGCCGCAGGATTTCGAGGGTGTTACCCTGTAAAAGAGAGCGGGTGATGTCACTGCACCTGATATGAATAGGAGTTTGCAGTAGTTAATACACAATATTTGTCTTTATTTGTTAAAAAAAAACAACAACCCCCTTCCCCCCAAAAAACAGATATAAAAAACATCAATTAAACCCCTTCGCTTACAATATCCACATGAATGTTCCCCGGCAGTGTGCCACCGTGTTGTGGATACGATAATGTTCTCCCTTTAAGAATAACCATGGACAGGTATGCCGGTCTGGCGGCTCTCAATCACGGCTGTTGCCACTGATAGCTCCAGTCCCTACTATTGATTGACAACCAGAATGGTTCCTGATCACGTGATCACATGCAGGCCGGGGGCTTTAGCCTGCATGTGGCAGTGTGCACCTGTTTAACAGTGTGACTGTCAGATTCAATTACAGTATGAAGAAAATAATAATAAATTAGTAATAAGAAATATAGTTTTTTTTAGCACGTTTCCGTATTTGTCATGTCAGCCTATAATAATAGAAACCAGAGTAGGGTTTTTTTAAAAAGTGTACCAAATAAAAGCCTTATACGCTCTAAAGAATGTAGATATGTGTGTGTATATATATATATAAAAAATTATGATTTAGGTATAGGAATTAATCATAGTTAAATTGGCCCCAAAACCTAAACTGTTTCTCTATAAGCAAATGAAAAATGTAAAGTATTACCTGCATTGCCATCTACTGGTGTACCTTAGTACTGCAGCCTGATTATTTAGATCGAGACAGAGTTTTATGCATAAAGTTGAGTTCTTTATCAAAAGAGCTCGGCC